GATGATGGATAATGTCTAGTGGTAGAACCAAGACTTATGTTTCATTCTATTTGGGACTTGCCAGCCGGATGTGTCTGCTTCTTAGTAAGTGATATTGTTCCCACCAAGACCTGAACTTGGAAACAGTGACTTCAAACGCCAGAGTTTTATCCACTAGGCATCCACACAGGAGTCCATATTGCCAATAATAACCAATCAACTCAATGGAATCAGCGATATAGGCTTACAGGCCATGACAGAAGAAGGCTATAAGGTATCTTTCGAGATTCAGGGTTCTAGAATTTAACATAAAGTTCAATTTTTAGAAACTATTAAATACGAACTAATCACAAGTTCTCATATTTTAGGGAATTCACTTGTGTAGTATTTTCAGTAGCCAGTGAATAGCCTGCTTGTGGTCGCAGATAAAAGGACACCATTCCATAATTGGAAGCTTTCTGTCTTCTTAATACATGCCTTTATTTTGTTATTTTTTCTAGCATACTGCACCGGGATTACAAAAGTAAAAATACACCTTATACAATGAACAATCCTTTAAGTTTCGGTAGTGTTTGTGGAATTGTGACCGATTTCTCCTCTTCTTCCTATTTAAATTCTAACCAAATAAGATGGATGTGATTTTTTTTCAGGTGGAGTAGTAATCAGTTTAGTTAGTTGTTGTACAATGAAATTAATACGAACGGAACAATCACACTATAGGAAGGCAAAGCCTGGAGGCGATTATCCTTTTACCTACACCTGTATGAATATTTGTTTGTCTACTAAAGTACATTGAGTTATGTTCAAGTCGGGTGAAAGTTTATTCGAATACAATGATAAAATAACAGACGTGAAGGGTTACGTAAAGGTAAAGGTAACAGTGTAACTGAACTCGGTCAAAAAACTAATAATGTATGACAATGAATGTTTATCAAAGTCAATGAATGAAATGGAAGGCTAAAGTGTGAAATTTAAGGTAGAAACGTTCACAAAGAACTAATCAACCATATTGTGGGCTAGAGTATACAAACAGATGTACAGATTTCTTTTACAAATAGATCAGCTTTTCTTATGTTGATTTTTGCAGCTTTAACCGCATATAAGAGATGCAAGCAACGCGAAATACCTCAAAAGATCTGATCTAACTTAACATAATGACCATTATCTAGAATAAGTGTGAAAAAACCTGGACTGTTTATGTATTTTGTTATTCTTTCACCTTGCCATGCTAGTGCATCTTTATAAGTACATGTATAAAACCCTTCTAGTAAGGTCTATGAAAGCAGCTTCACACGAACAGTCGAATTAATAATTTCGCAATAAAGTAGCCGTGAATAATATTTTGGATTCAATGTGTCAGTAGGGGTTAGACTAGAAAGCTAAAAAACTTCGCTGCAGTAAATGCCCTTTTCATTTATCCACCTAGTGGGCATGTAATGTCAACCTTCATAAAGTCTTATTATGTGTTTGTTTATGTTTCACGGGATAACTATGTCGCTGTAACTTTATCTTCAGCTGATTCATTTCTTCCTCCGAATAGTCTTCGGAATATATATTTCGTATCCTGTGACTAAGAAATTTGACTGGATTTCTTTTGTGCTGAGTCGGTGTGAAAATATAAAAATGAATAAACTGATCGGTCTTTATGTTCTTAACATGTTTTCCACTCAATATACCCATCCATTTTCTAGGTGAGTAAGACATCTAGGAATGACACACTGTTCTCCTGTTCTGCCTCACAAATGAGCTTAATAGCTCGGTGCGAATTTCAAGTAGGTATTCATCGCGGACTGACGTAAGTTGAAGGAACAGTAGGAACCTGGAAGCACTGGACAGCTGTTTCGTCCTACTATGGGACTCTTCCGCAATGTGCACCCATGACTCCCGCCAGGGGTTGAACCAAGGACCTTCAGGTTCTGTGGTCAGCACGTTACCATTGAGCCACTGAGTCGGAATGCAGTGGTACATATTTCTAACTTCTATCAGTTCACGACATAGCGTGGTGGTAATTGTTGAAACTATTCACAAACTTTTTTGTTGAACTTTGTTACAAACAATAAAGGTGCCGCCTACATGCAGGCAATAATAGTCAAGCTCATCAGAGATGTCTCTTAATTGACTGTTTTCAAGTTTCGCCAAGATATCTGCTAGCATAGGATTCAGAGAAAGACCTCAGCAACTACATCTGTTCGTCCATAGAATTCATTTTATAACATATTGTGGACAGTAGTCATCAATTTTAACAGTTACTCCTTAACCTTCTCAAGTAACATTTCTACATCTATCTCTAATTCTGTAAGTTGATCGCCTATATAGTGAACTGTGTCAACGAGAATGACGTTAGAAAATAATGGTGGTACATCTAGTGACATAAAAGTCTTATCTTTAATATTCATATTCTTGACGTATTCCAAAATGTTCGGCAGAATTCATTCAGAACAGTTACAGTCTTAAATCATTCTTGTTCTGATTTATTTATGTGCCTTATGATTATACCTAGAGACAGTTTTTTTAATCTTTCTTCTTACAAACTGAAGGCGTTTGGAAGTCAATTCAGTCGGGAAAAATATTCGTCAAATAACCATAAGGCAGAATAATTTTCCAGAACTTTCTATGGCCAGTCAATACTCTTCATAAGAAACAAGTGAAGCCTTAATCTGAATAAATGGATCTAGTGACGCTGAAACTGAGTGACGTTTGTGTATTCTTTCACACTTTTCAGAATTCATCCTTAAATTTGAAAAGGCGAGGAAGAAAAGTGCGTCATAAAGTTAGTCTGTCTTAGCAACAGTGAATGGAAGTCAGAATAATCTGTTTAAGATCCAGATTACAGAGGATTAGACTTCTCTGACCAAAACGTTAACTTCACAGTATCTAACTGCATAAGTTATTATGCTTCTTGACCCAGTCACCTAAGACGATATCCATCACTTCAAATGAATATGTACAAAAGACGCCAGGGAAATGAAAAGAAAGTTAGTTTGCTGACAATTTGGAGTATACCTCAATAAGTCTGCATTTTAGCTACACTTGAAAGCTCTGTGTATTCAAAGATCTGTAGACCGCTGATAATAAGTATCACCACGAAGCATAAAACCTCACGAGAGTTCTTAAGAATCAGCAGTGTTTGAATACCTCTATTTTGTCTAAACAATTGGGATTATAGGAATTTGGTTGAACGTATGTATTCAACAAGAAGATTATGTTGCACCTTCTATTTTCTCAGTGTTAAAAAAAATTATTTATTCATTTTATCAAATCCACAATGATTTCCTAACCTTGACATCGTGTTTGTTTAGTTTCAATCCCCATAGTTGTTATTAGTAGGACTAATGTTCACAATGTTTCCCATTAACCTGAATCACTTGTCTTATAACTACATGACCGAATCAGGCTTACTCCTCGCCATCATAACTGCAAATATTTCCTAACTACCTTAGAAAGTCCATTCATCGTGATCCACAAAGCAATACAGTTTGTAAGCATGTAGAACAATCCTATATTCCTATATGGGCGTTATTGCTTTCAAACTATATACCTGGAAACCAGTTTATTCTCATTTTTATATTCCTTATTCAGTAGTTAATATTAAAACTGTGGTAATTTCATGTTCACTGACCATACTTTTAAGGATTATACATAGTTTTCAAGGCAAACAAAATCAGGGGTTATACATCATCTGTAAGTTGCCTTTTTTCGGCTGCGTAGAACTTTGTGCCATAGTGCAGATGCTCACTGAGAGCTTTTGACGTCGTTCAATAATTAGATTAAAGTTATCTGTTCAGAATTTTCAGCCTTTGTTTTCCTTTCTGTGTAAAGCTTAAATTCTTTTAACACTAGCACACATATTATTTCATTTCATTTCACTTATTTCAAGTGATATTACATATTTGTGTAGTAAGTTAAATTTGAGTGCGCAGTCACATTCGACTATTGTTTTTTTCATAGTTTTATGATACAAGTTTTCATGAACAAACTCCATTAGCTGACTGATCACTTATTAGACTACCAACAACAGCGCTTTATAAAAGAATGCTTCTAGTTCACAGTCATCTCGTTGGGATTCATGCACAAAGATTTTCAAATCCAAATTAGTCTAGGGGAAAGGTTGACTGTCGTTCAGTATTATCACCTTGAAACAGCAAATTGCACTGAGGCTTTAAGAAAGTCATCTTAAAGTCATTAGATGACAATTACTCTTATTACTGAGGGTGACTGACAAGGAGCTGAACTGATATTAGCTATCTTTTTTTCCATCTTTTCATGCCTGATTCTGTATTTTGATCGAAATGTACAACGAAATGTTTTTCTTCTGTAATTTTTACTTGTGCCTTCACTTTTCTTATTTCGGGTCACACTGGCTGAACATACTTTATTTATCATTCCATAGTAGTTAATAAGGTTCTCAAATAATACGGAATCTAAATGTCTACAGTAGGTTTCTAGCATTATCGATGCTTTAAGCTAAATATTTATCACCTTTAGTGCTATGATCCAACTTCATTCAGTTTTGATATAACGATGCTAGGTAATAACTTAGGCAGAAAGAAAATGGCGGTAGCATCCATTATTCAACAGTGACTAAGTAAACACTTCAGCTTGCAGTATCTGTAACAGGTATGTGGTGAGAAGAATGAAGTACAGAATATCCAAGCATATCTACAGTGTATATCAGTTAAAGAACTAAAGTACATTAGCTTACAGGTAGTTACACTGAGACTGCATTCTCAGCAGCAATTTTGTCATAGTTTCAAAGCTTTTATTCAGTAATCGATCTACTGTATGGTTGGTGATGACTGAGGAATAAGTTAAAAAGAAAATATTATGTTCTAATGGGATGAAAACGAGTTTATACTAGGGGTTTAAAAGTCAGGAGTTAGATGCACATAGCATTTTAAAAAATTTCTTTATTAAAAAGCTTACTAACAAGGAGGGTGCTTGTTTTGTTACTGTTAAAAACATGCTTTTAACTTACATTGCTCAAAGCGAATTGTTGAGTACAACACTGTTTTTACTAACAGGCTGCGACCGCATAAAATGTACATATTTCGCCTGGCTGCTCAGACGGATGCTGGACAAAGCCCTTTTAGCCTACCAACTGATGTCGTGATCACAGAAGCCCAAAGGCCATGTTCAACTCTACTTCATTTGAAAGTTGACTTGAAGTCTGCCGATGTTTCTAAAACAATACAACATTCTTCAAATGCTCAGCTAGGAGAAAATGAATTTTTGGGCAAAAATTACTGTGAATTTGTTGTTGTAAAGTGGAAGGTAAGTCATAGCACTTGAATAATGTTTAAGGTTATACTACTAGTAGGTCTTTCGTCTAAGACAATTTTTAACCTTTGGTATAAACTCATTATCTCGATAGTTTCGGTTTACTACATGAAGCAGCTATAATATTTCTTAGTTAACTAGAAACAATTGCATCACTACTTACTACCCTTTAAACATTTCTGAAAGGATTTCAGATAGGTGGCATGTTTTGTCTTTACAGAAACTGTGGACTGCGACAACACTGACACTAAGAAATGGGACTTAACATAGCCCTCACTTAGTCTCTTACATAGCAGGTTTGTATCTAGATCGGAGTTCTTCTGTGCTGTTTATCCTAGTGAAAAATATTATGTCACACCTCAGTAAAAGTTTGCGTTTCAACATCTTGGTCGATTTCAGTCAGCTACTATGAAGTTTTCAGCAGACTATCATTTGTAGTTCAAAAAACAAGTTTAAGGTGTTCATTTCTTAATTCGTAATCTATTTGGAGTCTACCTACTACTAAATTTGATTATCATTGAGGAAATTTATTTTGAGCAAAGTGGAAAATCATTCTCCAAATCTTGGATAATGAATATGTATATTTTTTAGAAGGCCATTCCGTAGCGAAATACCTTTATATATAGTGTCAACTCTGTTGAAAATCTTCAACGAAACCTATATGGCGATAAAGTATAGAAACTCAGATGGCCGCAGGCTGATAAGTCAGATAACTTGCAACAATTTTTTAACAGTAATTATTTTCATAGGATTTTCCACAATAGATCTTTGTTTCACATCTCTCTAATAAACTACCTGATGAATTTTGATGTTAGCTTAAAGTATTGTGGTAAGTTACAAAATGAAGGTGAAAATAACAGGAAAGCTATTTCACCGCGATTTGAAATCATACTGCTGAACATTAATAAAGTAATGTGAAATATCACGTCCTCTGTGATCTACTGAAACGGCAATGTATTTCGAAGGGAAATTATTGTGTAAGACCATTATTTATTCTGGCAATATACCGCTGATCAAATTTTCTTCAGCAGAAGTAGATTTCTAAGAGTGTTTATATGACTTTCTTCCGCTTTGATATGACCTCAGTTTATTGACGCAGTATTCGGATGCAAGTTACAAATCCATAGTCAAAACAGTTTAGGTTTTTGAAATGAAATCTCTGGGAAAATCTGGCTTAAATGGACTTTTCAGAATCAATATGGACAGAACTATTGCTATCAATTCATTCAGCTTGCCAAACTTTATACTTTGTAACTTTACTGAGTGGTTAACTGTAAGTTTTTTTCTGTCCTTGCCTTAATCAAGCTTTTTAAATAACCGTCAGCTCAGAACAAACTATGTAAACAAAAAATATTATTTTCAAGTTATGTCTCAATGTATAGCATGCACAGCTGCACATAAATGTAAAGATCTTTAAGCCATCAACGATAACTTACCGGTGATGGATAACATGATTACCAATCCTACTATTCAACGTAACAGTAGTGATGATAAGAAAGCTGAGGACAATATGATGGAATGTCAACAGTCTTAGTGAGTCAAATCATAGAAAAATATAAGTTTAGCAATAAGGATTGATGTAAGAAGTAAACAAGAAATATCTAGTTATTTATATAATCGACGCACGAATAGAGCAAAATAGGAAAAAGGAGTAAAATCACTGAACAGTTTAGTCAATTATCACCGTTTTGAATAGGGACGCATAGTTAAACAGCCTAGAAATATCTGATCAGAGTAAAATAGAGCTAGCTTTCTGCAGAGACATAGGTTCAGATGTCATCATGCGATGTGCTGAATCCCGATTAATTTGTGTCTGCCATTTGGCTACTCTAAATGGAAGACAAAAGAGCTGTCTCTCAGTGTCGTAGTATGCTCCATCAATCTTTCTGCAGAGGACCTAGTGAACTGGAAAACAAGCCTAAAAGTTAAGACCCAGGGTGTCTTGTCTTGTTAAAAGTAATTAACAGAATGCCATTGTGATTTGTTTGACGACCGCATAATGAGCAAAAGCTACGCGAAAGACAGTTAACATGTAGTAACCAATATAGTTATAGAGGCCTGAAATCCCACCACTGACAGTGGTCTTTCTACCACTTTTGAAATTCGACCCCAAACTTAGAGATGGCTGTATTTGATGTTAGATGTGAGGACCAATCAGAAGGAAGCCCTGATCCACTTACCTGTCATACTCGCAATTTACACCTTGGTAAAGTGTCATCTTTCCAACTCAAACTCAGTGTCTAAATACAAATAATATATCTTTTTTGGGATGTTATTACCAAACCACATACTATCTGTCTTACTTTTAATGGGTTTACTTCTTGGTGGAAAGAATAATAGGGTCTTCCGCAAATTATTAGCTCTTGATTTCCACCTATATGCCTTGGTATGTATGTATATTAGGAATAATATAACCTTTTATTTTGCTCTTGTAATTGTATATAGGATGTAAGACTCATCCCCTTGTGTTCATGATTTGGAATAGGGAATATTTATGTTCAAAGGACGAAAAATAACTTCTTGACAGTCACCGGCATCTCTGATTGCTTTTCATCATTACCTCTGCACGCAAAATAACAGTCTGTTAACGAGGAGTGTCATACAGCCTTGTTAAGAAGTATTTACATTTCAAGTAATGTTAACCGAAAGACTTTTCTCATTATGCTTTCCACTGAAATTACTCATACCGTAATCGCTACATATATATGTCGTTACTGTAAGCTATCCTACATAGTTTCTTTCCAACTTGAAAGGATTTTGTCGGTAAAGCTGTATTTAGTAATAAGCAGGAGGACATGATCATCTGTAATCCCAGTAAATAAAACTGTTCCACTCATAAAAATGATTAGTAATGGCATCTGTAAATGTTTCAAAAATATGAATAAACGAGAAGTGAAATAATAATAATTTGCGCTTATTTCAACGTATCTGCTTCTATGTAGATAAACTGTTTATGTGTGTTGTGTAAATCCCTGGGAAAATATATCGGAATTGGTACCTTAGTTACAGTTCATTGTATGCCGATATGCACAGCTTTAGCACTCGAAGTACCAGCTTACAGAGAGCTAAGTTTTCATTTCGCTCACAGTCATAAACTTATTTCCTAAATATAGGTCTACCATACCATGGCTTTTTCCGATGGTTTCATCAGTATAGGAAAACTTAAGTTTTAATTCTCTGACTAACAACACTTTCCCTCAAAAGATTGCTATACCGTCAATCTAGTTCTAGCTGTCGTGACTATTTGAGCATACTGTGTTAAATGTGTGATGACTATATATAACCGTAGAATGTGCCATAAATAGTAAAATGTTTCTTCACTTAGTTTATTGAACTGTTTTCCTTTAATCCAAAAGTTATTATTGAATATTTTCACTTTCTTAAACGTTTATTTCTTTCCTCATAAAATGTTTTGGCCTATAGGTATTAGATCATAATGCATGGAACAGCCAAACTGGTTGGTATCATATCTCATACAGACTATGGTCATCTAATCATAACGACGGCAATTCCCAGTCATTTAATTTATTTATAAAACATGATGAAAATAAAGTAGAAAACTCTTCTTACTTACAAGTGGAGTTACAAGATTTTATTACCAAATAAGTATTATGTATTTACTATTGAAGCTGTTAATGAATTCGGTACAACTGGTTCATCCCGATATTTGTCATCGATACTCATCAACAGTGGTTCAGGATGCAGTCAGAAACGACCATATTACACACTATTAAGGCACATGGCAAAATCTACTCCATCACTGATTCATCTGGACACATTAACTATCCCATAACCTTCAGCCAACCGTTATTGAGCCCATGAATTTTATCTGTTTTGCTGATGACATACAAGTTCTGATTAAATGCACTTGGAAATATAATGAGACAGAAAGCATTTTGGGATTTATAGTAGGTTGAAATATTGTTTGACTTCAAAATAAACACATAATGTTGTTTCGCATAATTTGTATCAATGTTTGCATTTTCAGTACTGTGGTTACGAGACCATGGAATATGGATAAATGAATTTACACACTTAACGTATCGAAATCAATTTAGTATACTGACATTCATTGAAGATGATTGCATTTTATTCATTAGTTTAAATGATCTATAGCACTGGTGTAATACTTGACTGTTGTTGACCTACAAATGAACGCTCTGCTGGTTAACGAAAAAAGATATCTGAAGTAGAAAGGAAGCAGTTATAATGGTAATTGAATATTTATATGAGATACTAATCTTCGATATTGGAATCACTGTAAAAGAACTTCAAGCTAACTGAAAAGGAATAGACAAAGAAGGCTTGTCAGTTAGGTGACAAACTTTTACTTTTGTCCAGCACCACTCCCAATGACATGCAAAAGTGAATAAGGATAGTTAAGTCTTATTGAAGACAAAAGTAACTGAATCAAGACAATATTATTTCTTGAAGTTACTAGCTAATAACAGAACCTATGGTCAAGGCAGATGAGACGCTAGAAAAGAAGAAGTAAAAAACCTGATTATGAACTTAGAATCCATCAACAGTCATTTCATCCATTCACTCATTGACTGCTACTTTCAGTATAAGAAAGTAGGATGAATCGTATTCTCAAATAACTTTTCGGAAAATAATCAATAAGCTGCATACAGGTTTTTCTTCTGCATACGATTTCATCTGCAATGAAATCAGGGACAAAAAATAAAGCGCTGAAATTTGAGACTTGTCAGAGATTTTCATCCTGTGACGATATTTTCGCATATTATGTAAGTACTACCAAGAACCACCATGGTAAAATAAGTAATTCATTAATGGCGCATTTTCACAACGTAGGCAAAATGTAGATTTAAAAGTTGAAACGTTCATATGAAACCAGTTCGTTACAAATTATTATTATTATTATTAGTCCCTTGTGTTCCTAATGGAATAAAGGCCTTCAGTAGCTGGTCTCCAGTTCACTCTGTTCTCTGAATCTTTTCAACCTGGCTCCATGACAGCCCACAAACTCTCATTTCCTCCTCGCACGATATCCTCCATGTCACACTCGCCACAGATGCCCAACTCGTCGCTTCCCATGGGGATTCCACTCGACGGACTAAACTGGCGCGTGATGTCCCCAGCCGATCTTCTCAGTGTATGCCCAATCCATCTCCACTTCCTTCCACTGCATACTTGTTCAGCGATATCTTCTTGGTTGCTTCGTCACCAGCCAGAGTTCCTTGTTGCCTACACTTTCTGGCCTTCTGATCTTCAGTAGCGAGTGAGCGTAAGCAGTTGTTGATGAGTGCCTGTAGTTTGTTGGAAATCCCATCCGTAATGCGTCAAGTCTCTGAGCCATACAGAAGCACTGACTTGACGTTAGTGTTGAAAATCCTGATCTTGTTCCACATGCTGAGTGCAGAAGATCTTCACACTGGTTTCAGGCCAATGAACGCCTGTCTTGCTTTTCCGATTCTGACCTTGATATCCTCGTCTGTGCCTGTGCTGCCTGTAGTTGAAACAGTGCTTCCTAGATAGGTGAAGGAGGTTACTTCCTTTAAGTTTCTCCCGTTGATGGTGATTGGAGCTTGTTATTGGTGGTGGTGGTGGTGGTGTCGGTTCATTGGGTATCTTCATCACTTCTGTCTTCTCTATATTCACTTGAAGTCCCATCTTCACTGCCTCACCTCTTCTGTCAACTTGTTCGTTTTCGAATGCAGACCGAGTTTGTGAGACATCAGACACAAGTCATCGGCGAAATCCAGATCTTCTAGATTCTTTTCCACGGTCCAGCCAGCGTATCCTCCTCTTCGCACAGCTCCCCACTGTTGTCTGCTGCATGATCCAGTCGACCACAATCAGGAATATCATGTGTGATAGTAGACAGCCTTGTTTTACTCCTGTCTTCACTTCACTTCGAAAGCATCACTGAGCTTCCCGTTATGAATTACTTGGCATGTGGTACCTTCATAGTGAACTAGTTAACCAGTCGAGGTTACAGTTTACAATTCATGAAATTCCAGTATCCGTATGCAAAAATGATACAAAATATGTTGAGGATCAGTAGAAAACTGGCCTAGTAGATGAATATCCTGATGTCCAGTCAGGAAAAATAGATTCCCTTAAGTTAACTTTGATTCCTCATAAGAGTTATGTATCGCTAAGAAACACATGTTTCTTTTGTAAAAGGTTTCTGAAAACTACTTCCTTTTATCAGACCTTCAAGTAATCGTTCTTCCAATGAACATTTATCGGCTATACCGTTCGTGAAAAGTTAACGTGAGTATCATCACATAACGTTCAAAGGAATAATAGATGTCAGCTGCTTATTAGGTGATTACTTCCATCAACATAGCTGTTTTGATCTCCTTCTGAACCTGAATTTGTCCTCATCGGTCCTGTAAGAGAGTTGATGAACTGCATGTCTTATCTCCTTCACCACTACATCTTAACGTGTCCTGTTTTTCAAGAACAGACTGCAAACTTCAGAATTTAAGGGAAACATACAAAAATATGGAAAGACAACTAATGATTGGCTGCCATTCAAATTGTTTTGACTGAACTATCTACACAATGAATGCCAACTGTGACTTCAGAGCAGCTTGTGTCAGTTTCACAGCAATAGGCGAATGACACAGTGTTTGAATGGCCAACCCAAACACGAACACATGAAAACTTGTCAAAACATGACCATTTCCAGTATTATTTTAGGGGAAAAGCATATTTCGCCACCAACAAACACACACTCAACACCAACGCTCAGTTTGCAATTCAAATCATGTTTCTTTCAACCCAACTAGACATAACATGTAGATTGGTTTGTAAAATGACCTCACTGGCAAAGATTGAAGATTTACAAGTTACCTGGAGAAAACACAATGAACAAGACAGTTGACGACGTAATTCATGCTGTGAACTGAGAATAAAAATGATGTATTTAACACACTTATATCAATAAGGCAGTGTGGAAACACAGAGTGCGAAAACAACTTGTGTGAAGCATTTGCGAAGAAATATGCTGTTGCTGATGAACAACAAGTTGAAACTCATATGTGTGGTTGGTCCGCTGGTGATGTATCTTGTTAGTACGTGGCACATTTGTGACTAAGATGTGGTTCAGTGAGCTTAATTGACTGTGTATGAATAGGCAGTGAACACATCCTAATATGTCAGCATGTAGATGACATGCACTTTTATATAAGCGTTTTGAACAAAAATCGGAATGTTTCGCATGCGTTACCGATTTACCGGGCCCAAAATAACACCTCAGCATATGTTCACCAACTAACTTTGTAGTGCTGGAGGGCTAGGAAGTGTCACCTGCTAATCACTTCATTCACCTACACAATAACAACAGCTTTATTTTTCTGCTGGTGAACAATATGCTTCATATGCTTCAGTAAAGAAAGCCTACTTGACATCTGTTTCTAGTGTCAGAGAGGCATCCATCCAACCACATATTGAAGGATGAACAAGCTGTGAAGCCTCACACACTACCGCATTGTACAGCTGTCAGACATGACGTTGGAAACTCAAGGACAGGTAGAGGCCACATGTCTTAGTCGCAAACATCTTGCAGACACACTTCGTCTCTATGGGTACCACAGATTGACTGATTTAGATGTTTGCCATACAGTTCCAGTTATGTTGACATTAGTATCAAGGTCTGAGTAAGTAAGACAGAGTAATACAAGCTGAGTAGTGAGTAAATCGTTTACAAACAAAACCTATTTGCAGAATCCCAGTGGAGTAGAAAAGGGAATTTCTGATGTTCCATGGCTCCTTAGAAGTCAGTTCTATGTGGAAACTAGGTACTTGTTAAGACAGACAAGGCAGTCAGTAGGGTTGTTATACTGAGCCGACTAAGGTCACTTGGACATCTTTTAGAGTTGTAGGAGTGGCCATACTCAAATGTTGCACTAATGTATGCAAATACAAACTGCTAATTTGAGTTGTTTAGACAGATGATGTGACCTTGTTGAAGCCCCTCCCACTGACTGGAATCAATGTCTGCACACTTTATGACGTGGATCTGAATCAGTCATGAGGACATGGGTAAGTTCTGCCTCTGTCATCTTTGAAACTTCAGATATATTACTGATCTTCATCCTCCTGTTTTCAAATATTATGCTCCACTATCCAGAACACTATCATTTATTTGCAATCTACAATCTGTGTATGACAAATTGAAGTTTTGAGCTTTTGTAAATGGTTCTACGTTGGTTTATCCGCCCGTTAGTTAATCTACTCAACTGTGATAACCATCACGGAAACAGCGTAGTTAAACCAATTTTCAATCAAAAATTTATATATATATATATATATATATATATATATATATATATTATGCAACGGTAAGAACTGAAACCATGCACTATTTTCATTCTGTTTTTAAACTAGTTTGAAGTATTTTCGTTCGGTGAAGTTGGCAAAAATATATCTGATGATCCGGTCAAAATTCATTCCATATTCATAAAGTCAACAATGCATGGTATTGTATTATATTCTATATCAAGTATCACACAGTCTTATTCTCTTCCTCTTAAGTCACCAATGATTGAACCCTATCATTATTACAAAATGTCAATTTGTGCCATGACATCCGGTGGACATGGTCCAAAGGCTTACTTTCCTAATTTTGATGACAATAAAAACATTCGCAGTCATTTACCAGTCAATAATACGGTGGAAAATTATTGTTACTCCGGCACAGTTTTATGCACACCACAAGGACCTCCTGAATCTCCATCCGAATTATTTTCAGAGTGGTTATCGAGGGACACAATTAAATTAAAGTGGTTACATCCAAATCATTTGAATGGCAGACTTGTTGATTATCGTATTACATGGAGTGAAATCAACTCCCAAATCGGTGACAGCAAAGCACTGCAGAATAGTAAGTATTCTGATTTGAATTATGTTACTATACAAATGTGATTATGTTTGAAAATCTGTACCAGAGTGTCAAAATGACACTATGTAAAACACTTGGGATCCTTCTGCATTAAATCTCTCGTTAAACTTCACTTTCATGGTGTTGCACATTTACATTTTCGGTTTATTTTCTGCAAGTTACTTATTTCTGGTTTTGGGTTGGCATTTAGGACATGGTAACCTGGTGAATAACGCTTAGTTTGAGTCCTGTTAAGAAACATCGCCTGGTTAATTATTTCAGTAGTTACTAGCCAGTCCTAAGCCCAGGTAGAGAGGGAAGGTTGGGCATAGGGCTAGCAACCCTACACCGGAAAACAAATCTAACCACTAAAGAAACTTCAAAGCACAAACAAAATATAAAAAATAAAAACAAGGTTATTCCTTGTTGGAATTGTAGAGACGAAATGATGCCGATTGGTGAAAGCCTTCGGGAAGCCAATTGGCCGGGCCGATGTGTCTTCTCTCCAACGATGAAAGCGAAAGTAAACGTGGGGACATGGGTGGAATGTCTGCACCATGTTTGAACCCAGCATGGCAGCCCAGATTGCAAACGAGATGAGGTATCACACTGAAGTGCCTGGAATTTGAGAAAGCAGATGGAATGGGAGTGGACTCTCCTAACTGTCAACTGGAGAATCAATAATCTACTCTGATATCGTCACCCAGACGACAACCACGTGCTTAGCACACTGAGTTATGGAGTGGCTATCATGATGTCCCCTTGAAGAGCATCGAAGGCTCTCTCTCATACAGTGGGAACCAATCTCCTCCAGGATCAGGAACATGACAGCAAGATGGATTCAACTCAAAGGGAAGGAAGGAAGGTCACAATCATACAATGCTCCACTATGCACCTACAAATAATGCAGATCAAGAGAAGGAGGAGGAATTCTACAAACAACTGCAATCAACACTGGACAAAACCTCAGTTGACGACACCAAGATTCTAATGGGTGACGTGAATGCTAAACTGGGAGGGAACAACACAGGAAGAGAACTAATCATGGGTCGAGAAGCGCTAGGTGAGGTGATGAACGACAACGGAGAATTGTTTGCAGAATTCTGTGCATTCAACGATTTGGTGATTGGAGGCGGGGCAGTGTGTTCAAGCACAAGGATATCCACAAAGCGAGCAACATGGATTTCACCAGACACCAGGACACACTACACTAAAAATCAGATCGACTTCATCTCAATCTCAAGAAAATGGAGACGCAGTCAGTCTACTTGACACAAGGTCAAGAAGAGGAGCAGATGTAGGTTCACACCACTCACTATCTAGTGCAAGGAACCCACCTTCCAAATCAGGTTAAAAGCCTTCAAGGAAGCTGGTGATAGACCGCAGTTCAAGTACAACACTCGGAAACTGAAGGATGAAACTACAAAGGAAATCTTCATGGCAGCCAGCCATCAAGACAAAATGGGAGACATCGAGGAACATCCGTGAAGAAACCTGTGTGGAAGAACACTGGAAGTCTTTGAAAGAGATATGGAAAGAAACCTGCACAACAGTATTAGGAAGGAAGAAGAAAGAAGACAAGATATGGAATGGATCTCAATGGACACATGGAAGCTGATAGAGCAGGGAGACGGAGATGGTGAAGCAGAAGATAAACCAGTGCAAGGATGCACAACAAGAGGAGGAACTGAGCGCAATGTATAAAACACTACACTGGACAAAGAAGTGAAGAAGAGTGCACGCAAAGACAAAAGACACTCCTACTAAACACTGGCAAGTGAAGTAGAACAGGCTGCAGGTAAGAGAGACCTGACAACATTGTACCAAATAACCAGGTTACTATCTGGGAAGAGATCAACGCAGACTGAACCGATAAAAGATGATGACGGAAATTTAATTACGAAAGAAGAGAAACAAAGGAAATAATAGGCTGACCACTTCAAGAAGCTCTTGAATCGACCACCACCACCACCACCGGCACTTCGTCCAGAAATACCACCAGCAGCCCAGTCACAGAATTACAACTGAACATAAATCCTCCAACAGAAGTGGAAGTCCTGAACGCCATTAAGCTACTGAAATGTGAGAAAGCAGCAGGACCAGATGGGACCCCACCAGAAGCACTGAGAATAGACGCAGAGACAACAACGGACATGTTCACACCACACCACTATTGCAGAAGGTGTGGAAGGAAGAGAAGGTACCTGGCTAGTGATTGGAAGAAGGGTTACCTTGTCAAACTGCCGAAGATGGGTGGGAGACCTGAGTGTTTGCAAGAACTGGCGCGGAATCACTCTCCTAACCACACGAAGCAAGCAAAATATCAAGCCGCATCATCCTGGAGAGGCTAAAGGATGCACTGGATTCAAAACTACGACCAAAACAGTCAGGCTTCAAGAAGTACAAATCATGTGCCGACCAAATTGCAACGCTTCGCTTCATCATCATAGAACAGAGTATAGAATGCCAGTAAACTCAACCTCAACTTCATCGACTTTGAAAAGGCCTTCTGCGACGTTGGCCGAGGGGCAATTTGGAAACTGCTTCAAAACTACGGAACACTGCAAACCTTTATCAGCCTCATTCAACAACTATATGAAGACGCCACATACCAGCCAACTAATTCATAATGGGAAGCTCAGTGATGCTTTCGAAGTGAAGTGAAGACAGGAGTAAAACAAGGCTGTCTCTATCACACATGATATTCCTGATTGTGGTCGACTGGATCATGCAGCAGACAACAGTGGGGAGCTGTGCGAAGAGGAGGATACGCTGGCTGGACCGTGGAAAAGAATCTAGAAGATCTGGATTTCGCCGATGACTTGTGTCTGATGTCTCACAAACTCGGTCTGCATTCGAAAACGAACAAGTTGACAGAAGAGGTGAGGCAGTGAAGATGGGACTTCAAGTGAATATAGAGAAGACAGAAGTGATGAAGATACCAATGAACCGACACCACCACCACCACCACCAATAACAAGCTCCAATCACCATCAACGGGAGAAACTTAAAGGAAGTAACCTCCTTCACCTATCTAGGAAGCACTGTTTCAACTACAGGCAGCACAGGCACAGACGAGGATATCAAGGTCAGAATCGGAAAAGCAAGACAGGCGTTCATTGGCCTGAAACCAGTGTGAAGATCTTCTGCACTCAGCATGTGGAACAAGATCAGGATTTTCAACACTAACGTCAAGTCAGTGCTTCTGTATGGCTCAGAGACTTGACGCATTACGGATGGGATTTCCAACAAACTACAGGCACTCATCAACAACTGCTTACGCTCACTCGCTACTGAAGATCAGAAGGCCAGAAAGTGTAGGCAACAAGGAACTCTGGCTGGTGACGAAGCAACCAAGAAGATATCGCTGAACAAGTATGCAGTGGAAGGAAGTGGAGATGGATTGGGCATACACTGAGAAGATCGGCTGGGGACATCACGCGCCAGTTTAGTCCGTCGAGTGGAATCCCCATGGGAAGCGACGAGTTGGGCATCTGTGGCGAGTGTGACATGGAGGATATCGTGCGAGGAGGAAATGAGAGTTTGTGGGCTGTCATGGAGCCAGGTTGAAAAAATTTCAGAGAACAGAGTGAACTGGAGACCAGCTACTGAAGGCCTTTATTCCATTAGGAACACAAGGGACTAATAATAATAACAAACCCACTGACCAGTCGGAGATAGGTACATATGACCTTTGGGTTAACTGCAAGTTATTTATTTGTCCGGGTTGCAACTGCTGGTGTCAGCAATCAGGCAAGAATTACATCTGAGCGGAATTAATACCTAGGCTTCATTTGGATGCTTACAACTTTTTTACGGGATCATATATAACAGTGGTCTATTTAATGTAATGTAAGGTAACGTTATTCTCCTAGCTTTTATTGAAACTGGGTACTCTTCTTCATTTTCACGTTATTTACTCTGTCGCAAAAGAATAACCTAAGCAGTATTATACAGCTTCTTTTAATTCTTGATATAAGATTACAGTGTTTACTTTCTCCTTAGCAAAGTTTGTCTGCACTAGAATAAGCTATACTAGTTTGTCTGGATGTGAATTATATCCAATGTGAATATAAATAAAAGGAACGATTTTCGGTTTGAATATGTAGATAATGACAAATGTTTTCTCGTTCTGTCTTCACCTCTATGTTTTATAGTGTAACTGTGAGACTGAGCTTGACATAAAGGAATGCAATTATTTTTCAATCCATTGGTTAGTAATATCATCACTTTGAGTCTTTTAATAGTCATATAGCTTTTTAGTATATTACTGATACGGTACATTTATTTTGAACCTACATAATGAGTTGTTGATAGCAATCTATGTTAATTGATTTCAGCATTTATTCTTATAAAGGTCTGCATTAGGTTAAGTGGGAGAACTTGTTATCCTAATAGAGTGAATACAACCTTTTACTAAAGTAGATTTCGTGCTGCGTACATATATATATATAAGCTTATCCCTAGTTAGCTTATTACTTTGCTTGTTCAAATGAGCATATATACGAATTAAGTGTGAACTTGTTATTATATAGTAAATATAGATAATTCTAGATGGCATAAAATGATTTTATCCCGAAGAAACTATTATCAGTGATATTATTATGGCTATTATTTCATACTGAAGTTAACTGAATAAGCTTTAAAACTAAAAGAGATGAAAGGACTTTTCTTTTCTTTTGAGGACTTGATAAGCTACACAGGACAAATCCAGTTACATAACTAATAGTAGTCTGCATTAATCTCTAAAGCACAAATCATTTAGGGAAATTAATATTCAGTACTCACTCAGAACAGACTATGAGATGAATACCTTTAAGTGGCTATCGGAAGTAAAAGTGTGTGATTAGGCAGGTCATGTATGAAACAGCGAAACAACCTACCATACTGAATGAATTAACTGTGCATTAACTATTCAGCTTCAGCGGTTAACTAGTTACATGACCTTGACAAGAACCTTATATCTTGTTTCAAAACCAATTTTCGCTTGTGAATTTATACTACTGAAGCTCCCAGAACCAGAAAGAAAGAGCTTTACAATGCT